CTAAGGGAAGAGTCCAACCTGTTCTCTGTAGGAAGAATATTCTTACTCGTGCCTTTTGCAAAGAAAGGCTTCCAGCTGAAGCTTAAGCCTGGAAGTCTTGGTTGCTGTGTGAAGCTTGTGCTCTTGCACTTAACTTGTCTATTTTTTTTTCCTACCCTGGTGACCAAAAGCTCAGAGCTCCCAGGATCCTGGCGTGTACGGAGTAGTGCAGTCTGGTGACCACATTGGCCGCACGTGCATGGTGAAGTGGTTCAAGCTGAAACCAACTGGAGATGATGTGGAGGTGAGTGCAGTAGCCAGGGCCTTGTACTCTGAGAGCAGCCAGGAGAAGCAGCCACAAAACTGCACAAACTTCACAGATAAACCTGGGAGTTTGAGCTCCTGTTCCTTGAGAAAAGGAACAGGAATATTATTTAGGCCTCAGACTCGCTGGAGACAGTGTCACTTCATACATTTTGTGTCCCTGAGATCAGAGCAAGTAGAGAGTCACAGCACGCGATCAGCTGTAGGCTCTGATCTGTGTGAAAGCTTTTCCTGGAGTAATTTCTCATGTCCACTATAAGAATTTTTCCCTTCTGTGTGTCTGGCTGGTTGGCAGAAAGGGAATCTGCAACTTGCAGTTGTCCTGCTTGTCTCTGCAGGGCAGTGTTGTCTGCAGTCCTGCTTGTAGGGCACTTCTTCCCCTAATACCCTCGGAGCACTGTGTTTTTCAGGATCCTGTTGGACTAGTCGGAGATGTGCTGTCCCAATTCCCCTCAAATCTGGCATGCAGTGCTCTGAACAGGAGATCAGATTGTCCTCACAGGGCCCCTTGCACCTAGAGACAGAGCTTCAGTCTCATCTGGGATTATGTTCCTCTCTACTGCCTGTTATGTCTTCCTAGTACTTTTCCTCCAGAAGAAATCAAATGGAAGACATTTCCTATCAATAGACAAGTTTTTCATCAAGCTTCATTTTGCCTTGATTTATTTCCGAAGTAAATGCTGTCCTTCAGTGCTCCTGAAATGTCTTTGAGAAACTGAGAGTTCAGAAGGGTATAAAATCCTCTTCTGTCTTGTGATCCTAGTGGTATAAAACCTAAAGTAAAAGGCAAGGTGAAGTAAAAAAGCAGGAGGCAGGATAGTTTTTTTTTCGTTTTTGTTCCTTGTTTGATGTGCCTTAATACCTGGCACTGCAGCCCAGCAGCAGGTGTTTGCCATGGGCTGAGATGGAACGAGGTGGCACTAGCAGCTCTGCAGGCTGTTGGACCAACTGGATATTGGCAGGAAAAAAAAACCCCACGTTGTCGAAGGCCGAGTTGGCCGATGCACCCGGGCTGACGCGTTTGCGTTGTCTCCGCCGCAGCTGATCGGGGAGGAGGAGGACGTGAGCGTGTACGATATTGCCGATCACCCCGACTTCCGCTTCCGCACCACGGACATCGTCATTCGCATCGGCTCCGAGGGAGCCACGGCCAACGAGGACGAGGTGAGTCCTGGAGCTGCTGTGACACACACGGCCTTGGGCCCCTGTGGGCTTCCTGGCTCGCTAATTCTGTAGCACAGTGCGCCCTGCTTGCCGGAGTAACGTGAAATCTCTATGGCTAGTGAAGATGTAACCTAGAAGGCCTTTGAGCGTGGTGACTGAAGCTATAGCAGAGTAAAACCAAAATTGAGGCAAGAATCAAACGTGAGTTTGATATTTCTAGTTAAATTCTGCCTCAAACTTTGGAGTAAGTGCTAACGTGAGGCTGTTCTAAGGCTCCCTGAGCCAAGCGCAGAGGTTGGTTTGTCCGGAGCTGGAGAAACCTGTTTTACAACAACTGAAGATTCAGCTTCAGGTTTTCCTCTGACTTACCACGTACACATTTAATTTGGATCGCTGAATTCATTGATCTTCCAGTGGGGCAGGGGGAAGAGGGAGCAATTCCTTTTGGAGCGGTTCCTCTCTGCTCTTGCAGTGCCTTCGGCTTTTGAGAGGGCTGCCCTGAGAAGGGTTAAAGGGTTTAGGGTTGCTCTTGTTGTGGCTCTAGTTTCAGCAGTGCGGATGGTCTCTGTGCTTGCTCAGCTGACCCAAATAACCTTTTCCTGGTGCATGCTGCTGCCCGTGCCTTCCCGCTGCGCCCGTTGTCACTGGCCCAGCGCCAAGGCCCCTTCCCGGCATCCCGCTAGAGGGCAGCTGGATTCGGAGGAAGGGGAAGGGCTCTGGTCCCCGCGCCCGCTCCCCTTGCCTAGTCTGGAGGAAGGGGAAGGGCTCTGCTCCCTTTCCTGGCAGAGCGCCCAGCAGTGCTGCCTGGCAGAGCCCCCGGCCCTGGAATGGCTCCGATGCGGGTCAGGATTCAGCCCTGCTCTTCTCAGTCCTTTCCTGGTGGAGAGAGGGGGGGTGAATTTTCCTAGTCTGTCTGTCAGTGACTCGGGGGGATGAGAGTCCTGCAAAGGAAGTTGAACAGCAGCTTCATCTCTGACTTTGGCAGCTGACTGAGGAAACAGCCATCTACCTTTGTCAGCTCAGATTAGAAACAAAACCCTCTATGCAGGATTTTTCTCCCTTCCCATGGGATCCCAAGACTTCTGTTACTTCTGCTGCAGTAGGCCCTCTGGCCAAAATGCAAGCAGCAGAGCTGTTATTTCTCAAAGATACATTTCTCAACCTTCCAGCTCTGCAAGTGCCTGGGACGGAAGGGGGGCTGACAATTTGTTGTTGCTTCTACAGCCTTCGGTTGGACAAGTGGCTCGTGTGGATGTCAGCAGTAAAGTAGAAGTGGTGTGGGCTGATAACTCCAAGACCATCATTCTGCCTCAGGTGAGGTCCTGTTTCTGGCTCGTGGTGTCCCTGTAACTCATCTGAGTGACAAGTAAGATTTTAAAACCTGGATGCAAAGAGATTCACTGTGTTAGGGAGTCTTGCTCGAATTACAGCTTCCTTTTCATATGATAGGGTGAATTTCCACTTTAGCACTTAAAAATCCTTGTTTTTTCCAGCAGGACTGAGGAACTAATTGGTGTTCACTGGTTTTGAATAAAAAACACCATGTGGCCAGGCAGGGATGTGCAGCTTCCCTTGGCTCACTGCACTGCTTGCAGCCCTGACCATAACCCTGTTCCTGGCCTCCAAAGCTGCTGCTTTGCAGGGAAGGAGCGGGGTGCAAAGTTCAGTGATCCTCAATCCTGATTTGAGCCCAGGCTCACTGCATTGCCCATAAAAATCCCTGCTGAAAAAACAGCGGATTGTGCAGTCGCACTTGGCTAAAGAAGCTCCCCCAAAAGCAAACTGTGACCTTAGCTGACCTAGTGACCAGACCATAATCTCCTCCCAGGGTTGAGAGGGAAAGAAGTTGAATATAAGCTTAAAAATACAGGCAGAATCACACTGCTAATCCATTTACTCCTGTTCCTTTGCCTTCTGTTCTGAGGGTTTTTGTTGTACCGGCTCTTAATGTTCTCTGCTCTAAAAACACTGTAATCCCATGTCTCCTCTCCGTGTTGTCTCAAATTAAGGCAGACAGCCCAAAGCCAGAAGAAAACCTCCTCTAGGCTCCTGTCCCCACCAGTGCGGCAGAGAACGCTCCCGCCCGTGCCGCGGAACGCGCTTGCCTTCCCTTTGACCAAGGTTTCTTTCTAAGCTGAGCAGCTCTGACGGTCAATGGCGGCTCTGTGGCAGCGGGGGGGGGTTCCAGGTGGCCGCCGTGTCCCTTCCCCCGTTGTCACATGCGCTGGGGTCACGGCGCAGTGGGCGCCCCTGCACAAAGGGCCCTTCTCTGGCTGCTCTGCGGCAGCGCCCGGCCCTTCGATTCCGCTCGTCCGCGTCGTTCCGGGGTTTGGGGAAATGTCGGGAGCGGGAGTTATCGGTGGGTAACCCTGTGATTTATCAATGCTTGTCCATGTGCCTGGAGAGGAGCTGTCCGGGTGCTTTTTCTCAGCTCTAAAAATAAAGATGGCATAACCAGCTAATGAACTTTCCAGTTCGGATTTGGATTGACTTTGAGGGCAGTGAGTTTTGATGGCTTTTCCTGCCTGCAGTCACTGCTGTTGAACCCAGCTAACCCTGCTGGCTGCTGTCTCCGGGTGGCACAGGCCTGGCTGAACAGAGCTGCTTCAGTGCAGGGCTTTGACAAGAGGACTGAGTGTCCATGGGCTGCAGCCTCTGGGGTCAGGAGCACATCTTGCAAGAGGAAAAGGATTCCTGGGCTGTCACCCAAGCAGCACAAGCCTGGGGATAAAATGCTCTATCTCGTAACTCCCCTATTGCAAAGTGGTTCTTGCTCCCCTGCCCTGGTGATGGAGCTTGTAGCTGCAGTGGGCACGTTTGCCGCTGCAAGGGACCTCAGGAGCAGCATGGCCGCATGCAATACTGCAATCTAGTCAGAAGTAGAGGAAACGGTCAGAAACGGAAGCATCCAAAGTTCCACAGGAACTTAAGGAAAAATTTCTTACCAGTGAGGGTGACAGAGCACTGGAACAGGCTGCCCAGAGAGGTTGTGGAGTCTCTTTCTCTGGAGATCTTCAAAACCCGCTTGGACACAGTCCTGTGCCACATGCTCTAGGTGACCCTGCGTGTGCAGGGGGTTGGACTGGATGATCTCTAGAGGTCCCTTCCAACCCTAAGCATTCTGTGGTTCTGTGAATCCTGGGAGACAGGACTCGATGGAAGGGGGACAGGTTCAACTTCCAGCACAGGGAAGGGCAGAGAGCAGTTTATATAAGAGTGTGCTGAGCTGCTCCAATTTCCTTGTCCCAGCTGAATTTTAAGCAACAATGCTATGCTAAAAAAGTGAGCAGAGCTCTGGCATTTACTGTGCCACAGGAGAGGAGAGCTGGGGTATAAATGTTTTTCCAGCTCCAGTGTTGCCCCCGGGGAAACCCAGAACATGGGCACAGCCAAATCAGGTTCTGTGCCACTGCTGGCTCAGAAATGAGACCAGAAATCCTAACTGAACATGTAAAATCTTCTAAATTAGCTCTGCATCCAGAAAACCCTCTGACATCTGTGCAGCTGCTGGTGCATGCGCGCTTTCCTTGGTCAGCTGGATTCCAGCTGCTGGGAATGCTGCAGCCCACCTAGAGCTGCTCTAGTTCTCCCACAGCGCCCTAATTTTCCCTACTTGGAAAGGTGGAGGATGGGGCTCTGCTGCTTTGCAATCTGTGCAGGCCGTTCACGAGCACATTTCTTGGATCAGATGTGCATGAAACTCGGTGCAGATGAAAGGGGACTGAAACAGTCCGGCAAATTCTACGTGGTAGCTCCTTTTCCATGGGGAGGACTCACTTGCCTACATTTACCCACAGTAAAGTCTGTGATTTAGTCATAAATACATTGGTGTCTCTTCTAACTGTGGTGTCTTTCAGCACTTGTACAACATCGAGTCGGAGATCGAGGAGTCGGACTATGATTCTGTCGATGGCAGCACCAGCGGGGCCTCCTCCGAGTGGGAGGATGAAAGCGACAGCTGGGAGACAGACAACGGCCTCATGGAAGATGAGCACCCCAGAATTGAGGACTTGGAGCCAGAGGAGCCAGCAGCAGAAGAGGTGAAAAAAGTAGAGGAACAAGTCCAGGGAGCTGTGGCTATGGCAGTTGCAGACCTTGCTGCAGATAAAGCTGGTAAGGATGGGGCTCCAAAGAGCTTCCGGGAGCTAAAAGAGGCCATTAAGATCCTGGAAAGCCTGAAAAATATGACTGTGGAGCAGCTTCTGACTGGCTCTCCCACGTCCCCAACTGTGGAGCTGGAAAAACCCACTCGGGAGAAGAAGTTCTTGGATGACATTAAAAAGCTACAGGAAAACCTAAAGAAAACCTTGGATAATGTGGCTATTGCAGAGGAGGAAAAGATGGAAGCCATGGTGGAGACGGAGAAGAAGGAAGAAAAAGCAGAGGCACAGACACCAGTGAGGTCAGAGTGGCCGAGTGAGACGCCAGTGCTCTGCCAGCAGAGTGGGGGCAAGCCCGGGGTCACCTTCACCAGCGCCAAGGGAGAGGTCTTCTCCGTGCTGGAATACGCTCCAGGTGAGTGTCTGTGTCAGGCCAGGTCCCTCTTTCTCCTTTTCCAAAGCTTTCTAGGCTTTTTAGGCTGGGCTGTTTCTAGGCTTTTTAGACTGGGCACTGGTCTAAAGAGCCCTTAGCCCATTTAACTAGGGAGAATGAATTAAAGGCAGCTTTTCTATAGCACAACTTGTTCTCGGGCTAAAGCTGGCTTTTAGGAGGCATCTCTGAATGCTGCCAGTATTTCTCAAGCCACAGAAACAGGTTTCCTTTTGGGAAAGAGCTTGGAAGGGCTTCTGAGATCAGCCACTTTCCATTGCAGATACTTCCTTTAAAGCTCCAGGGTTTGCTGAGGCTTTTCTGCAGGGCTGAGCTGCTTGAGAAGCTGAACAGGAGCAGCTGGTGCTCTTGTGCTGGGTGTCCTTGGTGGGTGAGCGTCCTTGTTCGCTTGCACCAACGTTAAGCAGCCAAAAATAAAAAAGCATCTGGTCTCATGGAGCATTGGCGACAGCAGAGCCCAAGGTGCTGCCGTTCAGGCCAGAGCGGAGGGGGAAAGGTGGCCAAATTTCTGAACCTGCAGATGTATCTATTCAGGTAGGAGCTGCCCTCAGGTTTTGCAGAGGGGAGGCTCCTCTGTGATGCATCATTGTCCTGGGTGTGGGGCGGGCTGCCTTGTGGGGTGATGTGGTGTGGAGCCATGAGAACAGGAGTTGCAGGTTGTGGCTGCTGCGCAGTGAAGGAAAAAAATAATTTCTAATTTAGTATCGCACCAGAGCAACTTTAATTGGTTTGGACTGACACCAAAGCAGTCAGGGTAGCTTGAGGAGTTGTGGTGCTTCCTGTTGATACAAGAGTCAAGGGTCTTCAAGGAGGTATTTCTGAAGCTTTCTTTGTTGGTATTCCCCACTCTTCTCTTCCCAATGATGACTTTAATAATTTGTGGGAAAACTTGCATTCAGAAAGCCTGTGGCAGTTCCCAAAGGCAGGCTTCAATCCCTTTCTGCTCCTTGCCCTGCAGATACCCACGCCTTCAAGAAAATGGAGTTCCAGCCCCCCGAAGCCAAGAAGTTCTTCAGCACCGTGCGGAAGGAGATGGCTCTCTTGGCCACCTCCCTGCCTGATGGCATCATGGTCAAAACCTTTGAGGACCGAATGGCAAGTGTTGGCACTCGAGTGCTCGTGTGTTGCTGTGCTCTGCTGTCTGGCTCACTGTAGAATTTCCTGTCCAGTTTTAATCCCTTGCATTGGAGCTGCATGAACGTGTGCAGCCTGTTAAATAAGGCTTTAATGACCATAAACGTCTGCCCTTGCAGACAAACCAGGGTGACAAGCAATGCAGCCCTCGCGGCAAGGAGCCCCCTTCAGCTCTCTGGCCTGCTGGGCTGTGTGTCCTGCTGAGCAGGAAGGGCAGGTGGGCAACCAGCAAAATATGATTAAACCAGTAGGCTGAGTAGTGGTGCTTGACCATCCTCCGAAGCTCTGCTTCAGACATAGAGGCTGGGTCTGCCATGAGACTGTGGTAGAAATGAAGCTTCTGAGCCAAAATGCCCTTAACTTGTCAGAGCTGACCCTGCAGGTCCACAGGGTTAGTCCCCACCTCCCTCTGCAAATTCAAGTTTACCATGGTAGGAGGACAGCTCATAGTGTCTTGTGTTTATGTTACTTTCCTCGGCAGGATCTCTTCTCAGCACTTATAAAAGGGCCCACGCGCACACCCTATGAAGACGGCCTCTTTCTCTTCGATATCCAGCTCCCCAACATCTACCCTGCTGTCCCACCTCTCTTCCGCTACCTCTCCCAGTGCAGTGGGAGACTGAATCCCAACCTGTACGACAACGGCAAAGTGTGTGTCAGCCTCCTGGGCACGTGGATAGGCAAGGTAATGCTGCCTTGGTTCCTCCATGGGAAAGGGCTGTCGTGCCACAGGGACAGCTTCAGAACAAGCCACTTCCTGCCAGGTCAAAAGTCCTGGGTCACCTCTGGTCTCAGATTGTGCCTGAAGTGGGTGAGGGTTAGGCTTTGGGCTGGTTTGGATCCTTGGTGTAGATAACTAGCATATTTTGGCTTTTTCTGGGGTTGACTTTGGCCATTGCCTGTCTCCTCTTGATGAAGAAGCCTGTGGACAGACCAGCCAGACTGTCGTGGTTGGAAAGAACTAGGAGGGAGAAGAGATGTGAACAAAACTATGACTTGTTCTGCCATGGTTAAGTCTCCATCACCCAGACTTTCCATGTGGCCTTCAGTGTGGCACAAAGGCCAGCGGGATGTGAGGAACAAGCAGAGACGGTGAAACGGTGCCTGTTGTGCATGGACAGATTGGGGTAGTTCTGGGGGAATTGGAGCTTGTGTCTGATGCAGCCAGGTTGCAGGCCCAAGCGGGTGCTGAGCATGGGGCTGGGCTAGCAGAAAGTGATGGAGGGTTGGGTTGGTGCAGCAGGGATACAAATGGGTCACGTTCCTGCTGTGAACTGCAAGGCTCGAAACTCCTGTCCGCGTGAGCCCAGCCTAGAGGCTGGGGCAGCGCTCGCGTGTCGAGTGAACGGGAGCTGCCTCAGCCCTTTGTGACTCATTTGTCTCTATTTCAGGGGACGGAAAGGTGGACTAGTAAATCCAGCCTCCTTCAAGTACTCATCTCCATCCAAGGTAAATCCTCTTGCAGAGCCTGCAGAACAGGAGGGGACAGGGGGAAGAAGAGGGGATGTGTGGGGTGGGGGCAAACGGGGTTGCTCTCAGCTTGCAGGACAAAGCAACATCCTCTCCGTGACTTCCCGGGTCAGTCCAAGCAGGTACAAGTGTTCCTTGTGCCCCCAGTCTTGGCTCCATCCTGGATCTCTGACACGGTGCTCTCCCTTCTCATGCAGCAGAGAACCACGGAGCTGGTTTGCTTGTTGTTCTGCCAAAGGTGAACCACTGTATCCTCAGCCAGTTGCTAGAATTAGGAGGTTCAAGTTGCTCTAAACTGTTTCCTTCACGGAACTGTTTTTGTCCTGAGTCAGCTGCCCATTCCACATTGGGAATCTCTTTTTTTGCACATGCTGCTGGCGTTTGCACTGCTTCAAAAGCTGAATAATTAGAGGTGTGTCTAGACCTGCCCGAGGGCTTCCTGCCTTAGGGTTTTGCTCTGCCACAATCTGGTTTGCAAGCAGGCAAGCGAAATGAAGCGTTTTCCCCCAAGGCCACCCTCTTATACAGGCAGCCCAGGAATGCGACTTGGGAAAACCTTTGACGCAGACCAAAGGCTCCTTCCTTGAATCAACAGGCTGCTCCTGGCCCTCTGGAGTCTCAGAGCCCACCTGTATCCTCCTTTTGAGAGATCCCACCATGAGAAACGCCTTCTTATTTACAAAGCTGAGGATCTAAAATTAGAAGGCGAAATGCTGAGTGCTTTACTAGTGACAAATCTACCCTCCCTCTGCTTGGGCTCTGAGAAACTCATGATCTCATCTCTGCCAGCAGTAATGCAGCTCGTGGCAGGCTGTCAGCAGCGTGGCTGCTATTGCTGCATACGTGTAGCTACATGAAGCCAGGAACAGGCAGGAGAAGGCTTGCTGTGGGTGACTTGTCACCAAACTCAGTGCATCTTGTTTGGTAAATTCACTGCATCTTGTTACTCCTCTGTCTGGGGACCTTTGCTAGGAATAGCAGTAGGATCCATACCACTTATGCTTAGTCCTCTAATGAAGAGGAGAGAAAAGTTGTATTTAAGGAAGAGAACGCTTTGGCTATGTTTAATTTATATCTGCCTTGTCATTTTCTGATGGTTTCTTTGCCAGAAGGGGAGGGAAGGGAGCTGTAAGACCTCTCTCCTTCCCTCTCTCTTGGCTTCCTGCACTCTGTTGCATGCACCTTCCACCATCCCGGTGGAAGCCTGTGCTTGCCACCAAGCATCTGGAATGCTGGTGCCTTGGCAGGGTCTAAGAGAACCCCAGCGCCGGCAGAAGGCCGCAGGCCTGTTTCCACCAGTGCTTCCCGTGTGGTATCAGTCCTGCAGATTCCCCCTTGTGCAGTTTGGCCTCTTGAGGCCAAAGCAGAGCTTCCCTGCAGTGCCTTCCCTGCGGCAGCCGTGGGCTGTTGGCGCCGCCGCGCTGGAGGTGAAGCTGGAGTGAGCGCCCGGGGCCGTGACCCTCGAACCTCAAACAAACCAAGGTCCAGCAGTTTCCACTGCGGATAACAATTCGGAGCAAAGTTCTAACCTGTTGCGCTCTTTCTCCTGGCAGGTCTTATCCTAGTGAACGAGCCCTATTACAACGAGGCAGGGTTTGACAGCGACCGTGGCCTCCAGGAGGGCTACGAGAACAGCCGCTGCTACAACGAGATGACCCTGATCCGCGTGGTGCAGTCCATGATGCAGCTGCTGCGCAGGCCCGTGGAAGTCTTCGAGCACGAGATCCGCGAGCACTTTCGCTGCAACGGTTGGCGCCTGGTGTCCCGCATCGAGTCCTGGCTGGAGACGAACGAGCTGGTGGAGCGCAGCCACGAACAGGCCAACGGGGCGGATTCCACCTCGCTGCTGGCGGCTTGCGGCGCCCTCGCCGACAGCCCGGGAGACAGTGCGGAGTTACTGGAGGACGGCAGCTCCGCGGAGCAGGGGGCGGCCGCCGAATTTTCCGACTCGGCCCTCGATGGGAAGGAGGAGCTGGATGAGTCGGAGTTCACCACCTCGACGCCCAACGCCGGTGATCTCCAGCAGTACTCGGACTCGGAGAGCACAGGCCAAGCCAGGGAGGCAGACCTGGCCAGAGACCGAACGGACGAGGGGAAGGCTGCCCAGGACTCTGCCTCGCAGCCTAGCGTGAAACCAAAGAAAAGGAGGAAGAGCTACAGGAGTTTCCTTCCGGAGGAGAGCGGTTATCCTGATATCGGCTTCCCCCTATTCCCTTTGTCCAAGGGGTTCATTAAAAGCATCCGTGGTGTCTTGCAGCAGTACCGGGCTGCCTTAGCAGGGGCCAATATCCCAGAGTGGACAGAGGACAAATAAATCATCAGGTTAGGGACAGGCAAGTGCAGGGGAGAAGGGAAAGCAGCAGAAAGGAATTTGGCAAACACTGTTACCAGTAAACTGGCTTGTCCTTCCAGCTTTTCTTCCTCAGCTTGGTTTGTTCCAAAGAAGTTGGTAGGCCTGATTGCTCCTCCAAGGAAAGGTTGTCTAAGCATGAATAACTCTTTGCCCCTGGCCCTTCTTCCTTCCCCCCTGTCCTGTGTACACGCTCCTCTTGCGAGTTTGATCCTGCAATGGTAAGATTTGAGACCTGCACAGACGCAGTCTTGCAGCCACATTCCCTCTGCACTTTCATCTTGGGGCACCTTTCCACACAAAGACTCTTCCCACCCAGCGCTACCCCAGCAGTTTATTGGGGTTCCAGCCAGGAGAAGTATCTGGAGATGAAGGGCAATGCACTCCCAATATATATATATATATATATATTTTCTGCATTACCATGGGTTTTATAAAGTCTGCCCCAGCTTATATGTACTTAGACATTGGATTGTGTTTGAAGTTGTCTCCACCCTACAGAGTTGCTGTAGTCTTAGTTGTTCACAGATAGCTACAAGGTTCTTGATGGGGACTTGATTTGCAGAGCGAGCGCCCTGCGCTAGGACGCGTTTGGCCCTGGTAGTGCTGCGGGGTTGCCATCTAGTCCTGTGTCTTCTGCTCTTTCCTCTGGAA